TTTATTTAAAAAAAAAAGATTGAAAAAAGATGAAAAACTTAAGAATTCTGTGCATTCTTTGCCTTTCTTAATTCTTAATGAACTTTTATTTTAATTATTCTTATATAAATATCTTCCTTTATTTCCTCTTGTCCCTTGTCAACTACAACTCATTTTAGATATCTTTGCCTTTATAATCTTTATTTGCTCTTCTGTAGTGTTATTCCTTAAAGTTGTTCTTGTTGCATCTTGGGCAATTTTGTGATTATTCTTTTATTTAAGGATGAGGCTGTTTTTGGTCTGTTACCATTGCAGTGATGCAGTTTGACACAGCGTTTCAAACAGCAGGGTGAGTTGTATAAAATCATTGAAATATGCATGTAGGATGTAGCACCTGAGATGATGGCCCTTGAGTATTGCTTGTACGATGAAGAAAGATTTGTATTTATTCAATAATAGACAACATTCAAATCGTTTCAGACATTTAAATCATTTCAGTATTTATTTACCTTCATATACAGGAATCAGGCTGTAAGTAAAACCTGTTGTTAAGTATTTACATACTTATTTGTAGACAGCAGCTGCTTTTAGGTTTCTAAACTGTACATACTAAATATTGTTGAAACTTAAAGGGCTTAAAAAAAGGACTTCTAGGATGGCAAGACCTTCCAGCAGGATTTGTTGGCTGCGTTATCATGCCCTGAGTTATTCTTTCACATACTAATTATGCTTAAGTAGGAGAAAAATTAATTGCAACATATCCTAATGATCACTGAGTGGGATAAGCTTGGGAAGATGGTGTATTTGCCTTTCAGTTGCTTTTCGTACCATGTGCTCTTACTGAGCTGGTCACCTTATGTCCAAAGGTAGCTTCTGTGGTACAGACAGAAGTGATTGCTCAGGAAGGGCCAGAATTATTTAAGGGTCCGTTGGGCACCTGGAAGAACATAGTGGGGCTTTAATCGTGGTCAGTTCCCATGTACGTAGATTTAGGGAGTTCTGCCGTAAGAAGCAGGTAGGTCAAGTTAGAAGAACGGAGTCTGAAGTTACGGGCTTTTCTGTTCCGGCTTTCCAGTGCGGCATATTTTATTAAAATTTATTGAAGGATTTGGAAAGGGGAAAAGAATAATATTTTGGTTTTCTTATGTGTAGTGGTTTAGTGTGAAGTTTTCATAGAATCACGTGGGTTTTGGTTGGAAGGGGCCTTGAAGGATCATCTAGTCCAGCCCCTCTGCCATGGGCAAGGGCATCTTTCACTAGGCCAGGCTTCTTGTTTTTTCCAGTTGTTGCAGCGTTATGAGTTGTTTCCTGAAGTTACTGAATCCTCTTCTGTTCAGTTGCCTTACTTCTTGGTCTCACGGTTCACTTTTTTTTTCTCCCCATGAGGGTGAGATTGAAGTAGCCAAAGCTGCTGTGACACCCTGTGGAGTTTACCTGTGCATAATGATGTTACACACGTTCAAGGAGCTGGTTTAATTTCAGAAATTTGTGTCAGCACAGCATCATTTAGTTTGGTGACGACTTCTGTGGGTTTGTCTGAGATAAACATTGAGTTCGTTATTTAGAAGCTACCGTTATTTTTCCCTATTACTGCCCCTTTTGCCAGAGAAGAACATAAACATTTAGTTCCTCTGTGTCCTGAACAGTTTTTGCCTGTTTTTCGCTTGGTTCACTCAGGTCTGTAACAGCACAAGCTGCTTGCTGGGAAAGCCCAGCTCCATGTTGTCGCTAGAGGTGGTGGCTGCTGCTCCCAGAGGGGCCAGAAATTCCTCTCCTGGCGTAAGAGGGTCTTGCAAAAATGTCAGGTTTGGATTCTCCACAGATTGTTTTCCGAGAAAACATTTTAGCATGTCTGCCGTGAGCAAAAGGCTTTTGACAGGGGCAGGGCCGTCCTTGCCAAGACGGCGTTTGTTTGGAAGCTGCTATTTTTGGCCTCTTAGCTTCTGAGCCTTTTGTAATAGCAGAAAGAGGAAGCAAACAGTGAAATCACTTTAATAACGTATTTCCTGGTTGAAGTGACTTGTCCGTGAGGCCGAGACGGAGAAGATGTCATTTCCTGGATTACTTCTCTTCAGTTTAAACGGACTGTTTCACTGTGTAATCTTTTGACCCAGCTTCTTAATTGAAGCGTAATTTTTGTGTTAAGTAACGTAAACCAAGTCTTTTAATGAAAATATAAAGCTTTAAGGAAACACCTTTTGAGAAAATGCTGACCCGCAAGACGAGCCTTTCATAAACTACACATTGATATGAACTTGAAATCCCTTGCCTTAAAATTACATTCAAGAGCTTAAAATTTTGGTTTTAGAAGTATGATAATGAGGTTTGTTTATGGTGGTAAAAAAGTAAGGACACTCTCTCTGTTCCTTGTGATGCTGACAATGGTCACCTCTTTGACAGCAACTTCAGATAACTGTCCTCAAAACTTAGGGAAGTTACACATCGTTAAGGATATGCAGTTGTGCTGTTCTCAAGTTTCTGTTCATTAATAGTGACTTGTGAAAATTGTTGCCAGAAGTCCATGGAAAAGGAGGCAGAAAGGGCTAATCAAAAAAGAAGCTGCAAGTGTGATTCTCAGTTTTAATAGCCCCACAAAGAGACTGTGGAATCAGAAGGACACAGGGGAAAGAAACATCTGAAATGGTAATATATAGCTCAGTTTAAATTGGAAATTACAGTTGTTTTGAACCTTGTAATCCAACTTTACCAAAATGTCTGTTGGGCTGATAACTTTTTCCATTTCCCTTACTTTGTGCATAAGTAGAGCACACTATATATGTTTTACTTGGTCAACCTGTGAAGTATCTTGGTGTGAAAAACATAAAATACCAGGTGACCTCACCTCTCTCCCCTCCCAAAAGATATAAAGAACAGAAATATGCCTTACAGATCTGCATTAGAACAGAGTGCTTTTACATCTCCCTTAAAATGCCTACCCAGTTAGTGATAATTAAAGTACCGTTTCAACAGCAATGAAAGAAGAATGTGAAAGGAGCGATGGGGAAGAGGGAGGCAGAGTAAGAAATGCTCAGAGCTCTAGAGAACTAGTTTTTATTAATCTGTGCGTAGAAAGAAGAAAAAAATATGTTCAGGATCAATTTTGTAACTAATTGCAGTAAGAGATTTTAAAGAGTAGGAAAGACTCTTACTTTGATATTGTAAATTGATTCTGTAAGCTACAGGGATGTATTAATGCTGCTCCATTGCAAGTGTAGCTTCAAGTCGTATTTGATGTTGGAGCTAGGTGGTGTGTGTAGGCTACCAGGTAATTGGAATTCATTGTGTTAGGTAAAAATCATGAAAGATGGCCGAGCTGTTCTCCATCAGGGCATTCAGTGTGGGCTTCTACATATTGCAAGGTGGAGATCCATATTTCTGCTGACACAGTATGCTACTAAATGAGATGCCCTTTTTTGAAGGCAATGTTTGCTGAATAAAGAGTTCTGTATTACAAATACTACTAGATTATTTTACAGAAAGTCACCTCAAGTCAATACTTTCTCTTGGATTTGTCCAAGTTATTGGCTATGTGTAACTGATTGGTTATGTGCAGTAACACTGGTTATATGTAATTCATGCAGCAGCTAATCCATAAGTGTTTAACAACTTTGGTACTTTGGATTGGTTCTATTGTGTTTTTTTCATAAAAATGTCATCAAATTTAAGAATAGGTACTAGCCTTCTGTCTCTCTGTAAGGTGAATATGATGTTGTAGTACAACACTTCTTTATCCTTTAGTGGGTCTTGCAGGAACAGTTATGGCTAAGGCTGAAATAAAGTCTGTAAATACTGTTCCTTACTTAGCTAAGATTGATACTGTGTCTTCTTCACTGACCTAGCTTTTTGGTTTTTTACGCTGTTTTATGTTTCTTTTTGCAAGGAAGTTCTAAAATGTGATGTACATACCTTCATAACACAGTTCGTGTTGCATAGATTCAAGAGTAAAATTGCACCTTGTCTCTGTGCAGCAGTGGCAGTATCTTAGGTGTTACAGAGTGGTTGGGTTGGCAAGGATCTCTCGAGATCACATAGTCCAACACCCCTGCTCAGTGCAGAGTCTGTTGAGGTAGAATTTCGTGTACTTTATCTTGTGCCCATTGTCTTCTGCCCTGTCAGTGAGCACTACCCTTGCTTCATTCCCTCCCATCGGTTCTTACACACATTGATAAGATTCCATGTGCTGAGTCTTCTCCAGGCTGGAGAGTCCCAGCTCTCTGAGCTTTTTCTCTTGTCAGAAATGCTCCAGTGCCTTAATCTTCATGGCTCTTTGCTGGACTTGCTCCAGTAAGCCCCTGCCTTTCTTGGTTTGGTGTCATGAGTAAGATTAGTTATTGGTTAAGACTAAAACTACTACTTCAGTTTAAGTCTCAGTCTGACTAATCAGCAGTAATGTATCTGTACTGTTTATAGACCAACCTGGAGCCAGTCAATGTGTGTTAGCTCCTTTGCTGGTTTATCAACCTACTTGTTGGATTCATCTACTAGGAGTGTAATGCATACTTGAATCGTAGGGTGGGCTGGGTTGAAAAGACCTTGAAGATCATCTAGTTCCAATCCCCTGCCATGGGCAGGGACACTTCCCATAGACCAGGTTGCTCTAAGCCCCGTCCAGCCTGGCCTTGAACACCCACCACTTCTCTGGGCAGCCTGTTCAGTACCTCAGCACCCTCACAGAAGAGAAGTTCTTCCTGGTATCTAATCTAAATCTACTCTCTTTCAGTTTGAAGCCATTGTCCTATCATTACACTCTGGAAAGCCGCTATAAGGTCTTCCCAGCACATTCTCTTCTCCAGGCTGAACAGCCCCAACTCTCTCAGCGTGTCCTTGTAGGGCAGGTGCTCCAACTCCCTGATCAACTTCATGTCCCTCATCTGGACTTACTCAAGCAGGTCCATCCCTTACTTATTCTGGTGTCCCCAGAGCTGGAATAACATATAATCAGTCTCAGTGTGATAGTTTAAACAAAGTTGTCAATTAAGATTTTAGAACTGAATTTATTTTTATTTTTATTTCAGGATGGCTTGAATTCGTTGGTCCTTGATCTGGATTATCCAGCGCTGAGGAAGAACAAGAACATCGATAATTTCTTAAATAGATGTAAGTTGCATGTGGCCCTTAAACAATGACATTGTTGAGTTCTTAGCCATAAGAAGCTGAGTGGTCAGAAATGCATTGCTGATTTTCATTTTATTGACTTTTGTAAGTCTGAGCTTCCATATTCAGAAGACTTTGGAGAACCATGTATTACAAAGAAGTTTCATTTTGAGGAGTCGTCGTGCTGCTGAAAATATGATGGAAAATACCAGCGGTAGATCGTAATTTTTCCAACTGCATTTGGGAAAATCCTTTAATGTTATTTTTTTATCTTAAATGTGCACAGTGACATAATTTGCAAAGCATGCTCCAGTTATTATTCTTTAGGAATTAATTCCTCACAATGTCAACATTGTACATATGGTCTTATTTAATCCAACAGAGAAACATTCTATTGAGTTTTAAAACTAGGTTATTGTACCTTAAAATCTGCTGGTGCGTTTTTGAATCTTCATATAAACATTTGTGATTATTCTCCTGGAATCACAGAATGCTGGGATTGGAAGGGACCTCTAGAGATCATCTAGTCCAGCCCCCCTGCCAGAGCAGGATCACCTACAGTAGGTCACACAGGAACACATCCAGGTGGGTTTTGAATGTCTCCAGAGAAGGAGACTCCACAACCTCCCTGGGCAGCCTGTGCCAGGGCTTTGTCACCCTCACAGGGAAAAAGTTTCCCTAATGTTTTTGTGGAACCTCCTATGCTCCAGCTTGTACCCATTGCCCCTTGTCCTGTCATTGGACATCACTGAGAAGAGCCTGGCTCTGTTCTCCTGACACTCCCCCTTGACATATTTATAAACATTAATGAGTTCACCCCTCAGCCTCCTCTTCTCCAAGCTAAAGAGACCCAGCTCCTTCAGCCTTTCCTCGTAAGGGAGATGTTCCACTCCCTTCACCATCTTTGTGGCTCTGGACTGGACTCTCTCAGCAGTTCCCTGTCTCTCTTGAGCTGAGGGGCCCAGAACTGGACACAATATTCCAGATGTGGCCTCACCAGGGCAGAGCAGAGGGGCAGGAGGACCTCTCTCGACCCACTAGCTACTCCCCTTCTAATCCACCCCAGGATGCCATTGGCCTTCTTGGCCACGAGGGCACATTGCTGGCTCATGGTCTTCCTGCTTTCCACCAGCAATTAATTGTAGACAGAATCTTGGAGTTGATTGAGCATGTGAAAATGAAGACTGTTACATCAGAGTAGCAGTATTTTTGTCCTTTTAAAGTATTTTCTCACCATGCATATAAACAGGTTTTTTTTTTTGCTGGTAAAAATAGTAGATTATTTGCTTTAAAATGTAAGTTGCGATGAGTAAGCGTCCTTTGAACAACTGTGTTTTGTAGTGAGCTTACTTTGAGATATGTATTTTTTTTAAAAAACCCCTCAACTTTTCTATTGCATATGGGGTTACTCCTGGTGCACTTTTATCAGCAGCTCCTCTCTTGAATCCTTGCTGCTAAGAGCTATGTGTGTCTGCCCTCCATTGCTCTGAGGCTGCTGTTAATATACTTTCATGCCCCTGAGGTAAACTGGCTGGTGTAGTCATTTTTGGGGAGTTCTCATGTTTGGAATTCAGTGCCCCACCATAGGGCTAGCAGAGCCCCATAGCTGGACGTACAACTTCGCAGTTGCCAGTAAAGTCTCATTTGGAGAATTCACTGAATAGATAAGAAAGGACAGATTAGGAAGGAGAGGCACACCTTGGGGTTTTTCTGACTTCAAAGGAATTCTCGCAGTCATTTATGAAAGGGTCAGGAATGCATTTTCAGTAATTTTGTTACCTGCAAATGTGCATTGTATCTGTGATGGGGGGGAAAAGCTCAGTCTACAGCAAGTATAAAAAATGAAGTAAATTGTGTTTATGAGCCGTTCAGATTCGTTTTACATTACAATACTATTTTTGCAGTTGGACAAAATTGGAAACCTTTTTCTAATCAGGAGACCAGTATCTTCTGCCAATTAAAAATAACTATTTTTAACCTTCGGACAGTTTAATCTTCGAATGAGCTTTTTTGTTGTTTTTTTTCTGCAGCCCCTGATTTCTTGCTATTTGTCTTCCCTTTTCTGAAGTCTGTTGCTCCTACCCTAGGTACTCTCCCATTGTTGTAGTAAATATTATTAAGCATCTGACAGAGCCTGCAGGCTGCCAGCAGCGGCCGAAACTCAAAAATATACTTTTGTTCACAATTTATTACTGCCTTTTTTTAAAAAAAAAAAAATCATCTGACAGTTTAGAGTTTAAACAGCCAGTTATTAGTTAAAGAAAATACTGAGATATGTTACAAAAAAATTTGTGGTAGCTAGTTAAAAGTTTTCTGGTGTGCACTTCATCCTTATCTGTTGAACTTCAAAAAAAAAAAGCATCAAGAGCTGACTATTTTTTGCTCACACACTGTGAAGCTGTGCGTCTCTTAAGATTCTCCTGTTTCCATACTGCCTGGAAGAGAATGAAAAATAGTGCTGCCTATCTTCTGTAATTTATGAGTCTTTTTTTCTTTAAACATCCTTCTGAAATGAGAATTTTGTAAACCTTGATGCTGGCAATATTTTGGCACTGCAGCTGAAAGAATCAGTCCTGTAACAGTGATTTGTTTCAGAGTCTGTTCCGACACAGGTATTTCTGTGGTTTGTTACAAACCAGACTGGAGAGCTGAACAGAATTACTGGAAAGAGCTGGGTGGTTGGTTGGTTTTTGTTAAAATTAGTCAGTTCCAAAGATAAGCAAAGACCAATTTCTGATTTTCATTTTGCTTTGCTGATACTCGTGCCAGCGCAAAGGGAGCTGCTCGGGTGCAAGAAAAAACCAGCGTGGGTTGGTATTGGCATTGCTGTTTTATGTTTTTTAAAGTGCTGAACCCATAGCTGGCGTCCTTTTGGAAAGTGTTCTGAGGGTAGCAAGTACCAGTGGAAAGGAAGAGCTTACACGTGCTTGCTGAAGCTTCTCGCTACCTTGGGCTCGGAAGAAGAGCTGGGAATTGTATGAAGAATTTATGGACCAGCAAGCGGTTACTCTCTTAGGTTAGGGAACAGCGAGTTCTTGTCTCTTCCGTTTTTTCTCGGCATCTGAAGAGCTCTGTAGCAAAAGCCTAAATGAGAATTACTGTCAAAAGGTTCTGACAGACTCTGCTGAGCGCTCTGTGCCAGGAGCTTGGCGCCTTGTCCCTCCTGGAGGTGTCCTGAGGCAACCGCGGGGAGGTGGCGGGGCCGGCGTGGGAGGTAGCGCTCTGCGGTGCAAAGTGAAGCGGCTGAGGCAGAGTGATTGCTTACGATCGTTTTAATCCCTCTTACACAAACCTTCCAAAAATTGTGGAAAACGCAGCAATAGTCATCACCCTTTCAGTCAATTTAATCACTTAATGCTGCCACAATAACACTTTGAGAAGGAATTTTATTTTTCCCAGGGGTTTGAATACACCCTACTTCAGACCTATTGCAAGTCATTACCAATGAGGTTAATGTTTTCTTAATAGTTTATTTCAATTTAAAAATGAAATAACTTGTGTCTCAGCTGAGACATCAGTTGATATTCAGCTCAACTCGTTGTTTCAAGCTGAAACTCAAATGTTTTAACTCATTTCACAAAGCTACAATTTCTTACTTGCCAGTACTATAGGAGTTGGGTATATCCTGGTTCTGTGACCACTTTGCAGAAGCAGCCTCTTCACGTGTTCAATATAGCAAGAAATTTTTTCATTACCTGCTTTCTTTTACCATTCTAATTTCTTACCACTTCCTCTAAGGCACTGAGACAAAGTAAGGTACGCATTTATTGTTAGATGCACAGAAGTGTCTCCTGTAATACAAGCATTCCTTTTCAGTCTTCTGTATTGCTTTAGTCAGCTGTTTGGATTCTGGCTAAATTGCTGGATTTTCGGAGCATGCGCCGGACAGGAAAGCATAACGTAGTATTTAATTCCCCAAACAATGAGAGGAATCTCTTAGTGCTCTGAGAGCAAAAACTAGCTTGTTTAGATTAGGAAAGAAGCTTGAGCTTTCCAGTATGAGCTTGGTTTAACAAATCTTTCCTGGTCTTTTCCTTTTCTGTCATCTAGACTATGACAACAGGTTGAGTAAATTCTTCCAGGTCATTTTTTCAGCCATCTGAGATTTGCCAAGTGTTGAATCATGTCTTAGTGTCTTGTGCCTTTTTTGGTGAGCTCCAGTGCAGGTACTACGTAGCCTGTTAGCTGATTTAACTTCTGGGAACAGAAAGTTGAGTAATTAAGCAACAGTTTTAAGTAACAGTTCATAGAATCATAGAATGGCCTAAGCTGGAAGGGACCTTAGAGATCATTTTAATCCAGCCTCCCTGTCACCAGGGACGCCACCTCTCGACTAGATCAGGAAACACATGGGGACCAAACAGGAATCGAAACCGCGTATTCGGTGTTGTTAGCGCCACACTCAACTGACTGAGCTAACCAGCCCCCTTAAATGTCTGTAATCATTTATAGTCTTATCTTCAGGAATAGGAGGGCATGAAGAATGGATTTTGAGGAAGTCCAAGCAGCCACACAGCGAGTTGGTCCATCCACAGGTGCAGTACAATCCAGAAACCTTGACTTCCTAAATGGATCAGTGACTTTCTGTGCATTATCCAGCAAAACAAAAAACACTCAAAAATGGGAAACTTCTATTGTTAAAATGATTTGTTTATGTTTTGGAGCTTGGCAGACTTCTAGAGTGTAATGGCAGTGGATGTATTTGCGGTAGAAGGAACTTCTAGTACAGGTGTGTCACTCAGGTAGCGGCTTTTTTAACCCACTGAATAAACTCCAGGGGAAGTTGCTTTTGCCATTTTCCTCTGCAGGCAGACACTAGTTTTATCTGTTAAGACTGACTTCTTGCAAAAGTAACAGACCTGGTTCCTTCCGTTAGGTTTGTTTTGTCTCCTGAAGTTGCTGAGCCATGTGCCAGCCGTGCAGTCCCCGACAGAAACGTGTTACCTGCTGTGCTGTCAGTGCCTGTCGCGACTGACTCTCTGTGCTCCTTACTTCCCGTCAGT